CCTTCACTGACCTAAGAATGTCTCATTTTTATCCTTTATGACAAGTAGTATCCCACTGTACATAAAACACACACTTTCTTCATTCATTTGCATTTTCGTGGGCATCCAGGCTGTTTCCAAAATTTGCCAATGACAGATTGTTCTGCTGTAAGCATGGGTGTATATGTATCCCTGTGATACCATGCTTTTCACTCTGTCTTGTCCATTCTTACAGATCAAGTGATGGAAGTCTGCCTTGCTGCTGTTGTTGACATTGGATTTTTGGCTTGTGAGAGAATAGAGCATCTTTAACAAAGACCGTATTTCTCTGTTTGTTGAGAATTGTTATATTTGAACATTGTAATTTCTTAGAATCCCAAATGTTGAGGTTTCTAAGACACTTCATGGTGACAAAGTGTAGAGACATAGTTTTAAGACAAAAGCCTGATGTCCCAAGAGAGTAGGGAACACTGAACTGAGCCGGAGGAGGGTTGCTGTCTGTTTGCAAATTCCCGGAAAGCTGGGACCCAAAGCAGCAAATAACAGCTTCTCCTGCAGGCACTCTGTCCTTTGATCCCTTGCTTGGGATGTTATCGGCTAGCATTTGTGTGAAACTAGTGTTAGGCAAATGGTGGAAGTCAATAGAGATAGTAGTTTGTATTCACTTAGGTAATTATGCACATTCCTTAGGTGCCTTTACCCCTCAATAAAAGTGAGATGCTTCTGAGGCTCTGGGCTCACTTGGAGAGAAACTAATCTCAGTGAGACCTCTGAAGCTACATTCATCAGGTCTTCTCGTCGTTTCTTTCTGCACTGACCTGTAACATACAACACAAAGGATCTAAGGCACCAGACATACATATTTTTGGAAACCAGGGTCCTGGATTCCAAGGTCTTATAAATCATGCATGAACAAATTAGGTCTCTTGCATTGAACCACAGGTGATGTAGCAGATAGTGTTCATTTGAGTCTTCATTGTCAGTCTGTGAGATTTTATAGATGACTTTAAGTTTTTGAGAATACACTGTATTTAAGTAGCTTGGCTATGAGGTTAGGGTGAACATGAATGAATTAATAGCTGTTACACCATGTAGTGAGATTTGTGTTTTTCTTATAGAAAGTCACTGGTTACAAGTAGAGAATAAGGTTATCTTTTATGTTTATTTTGAATATTGTCATGATGTTCCTTCATAAGGACTAACATTCAATGAAAATTTATTTGGTTTCCCTTTATTTGAATGACTTTATAGTATCTCATTATAAGAATTAATAAATTAATTTTTTATAAATAGAGCAAGCCCAAATAAGCTAATGATGTACCTCATGATCTTAGAAAAACAAGGAAAACCCAAACCCAAGGATAGTACAAGGAAGAAAATTAGGAAGATCAGAGCTCAAATCAATGTGATTGAGGAAAAAAAAAATAACAAGAATTAATGAATCAAATAGTTGGTTCTTTGAAAGAATAAACAAAATATACAAATCTTTAGTCTACTTAACCAAAAAGAGGAGTGAAGAGACCCTAAAGACTCTATTATTTGTTATAGGTCAGTCTGTGCTTGAGGATTCTAAGGCCAGAGACATTGAGCACCTTTTGACAAATCAGGCTTATTACTGCAAGATGTAGAGCAGAACCTACGCTGTCGGGCAGCAGAACCTGCTGTCCCATATTGCAAGGCACAGGCAGAGATCCAGAGAGAACTGGCAGAAGTTGTTGTATCTCAGAAAGAAATGACAGTGGTTTAAAATCTTGAGTAGGCTAGAATCGAGATAATGTATGAGGCTGGGATAACTGAAAAGAAGAGACTGGGGCTTTAAAAGTAAGAAAGCCTTCTGTGGTCAACACAAAGTAGGTTCAAATCTTAGCAGTTGTCTATATGAGCCTTAACTTTTGGTTCAACACTTCATTTTTATAAGAGGTTTTTAAAAACCTGCTGGCGGCATACTTATGAAATAAATCCTTGTCTGTCACCCAATACTTATCTGTATTTATGATAGTAGTTATAATCACCAGAAATTAAGGATAGAATAGATGAAGAGGTGTGAAGAATAGAGACAAAAGGTACGTGGAATTTTGTCTTGTGTGTGGAGATATACAAGTGGTCTTAGATATTGGCACAATTCTCCTTTCCACCTTTTTTATAATGTTCACCTGTCACCTTACCCAATCCTCCTTTCCTCTGGATTTGTTAGACTATATGTACTTACATATTCTTCCTGAATATAATCTTACTAATGTTCAGATCAATTTCAACTAAACAAATTCAGCTAAAATATACTTTTTTATTTTAAAGATTAAAAAATTATCAAAATAATAAAAATAGCAAAACCATTTCAAAATAAGTTAGTAAAAGAGTTACAATAATTAATACATTGAGTATTGCTGTCTTTGTACTAGTTATTCAGAGTAAAAGATATAGGTGTATTGTCCCGAACCCACAGGTCAGTCAACGAAGGTCACCTGGGGGAGGAGCGGGGAATTGAAGAGGGGACAAAGGACAGGAGACGCAAGAAATGGAGGCAAGACAAAGATTCTGATCAAGCCTCGTTTATTTAGGGGAGGTTCTGGGTATATATAGGGGGTGATGGAATGAGGAAGTCTCAGTTCTTGGGGTCAGCAGGTATCTAGGCAACGGGGAGGGTGCAATCCCTAGGGCATAGCACGTGATTCACAGGGAATGGGCAAGGTGAGAAAGGCCATAAACTTGACTCAGCAGGGGAATAGAATGGATACCGGTTCATGGCCTCCAACAGTGTATCTTGTCTGAACAATATTAGCACAAATCTTTCTTTGCAATTAACTAAAAAAAACTAGCTGTTTAACTATCTTAACTATGTTCCGTATATATTTTTTTTCTTTTTCCTTTTCTTCATTTCCTATTTTAATGAATAAATTCTAAATTGTTTCTTTGATGCTCTAGTTTTTGAGTCAACACGTTCTTCTGACTATCAAGATAGACCAGTAGTGGGCAATATTTTTCTAGCACCCTGTTAAGGTCTAGTACTACTGATAGGTGTGGTTTGTCACTTGGTAAAATGTTACTACATTCCCTGTTTGTTTGGTTTTTTCTTTAAACCACATTGTCTAAGAATATCTAAATTTTTGGCTTTCTGGGATATTTGTATTATTTTTTCTAAGATTTTTTTCATGACATCCCAGTCTTTAAAACAGTAACAATCACCATAGTTCCCTCATCTTTTTTTCTGACAACTTTTCCTAGCATACTTACATTGTTATAGTTCTAATATTCTCAAGATAGGTGAATACTACTTATTTCAGTGTGGCAAATAAAATTTTAGTACTTTAACCTGAGAAGTATGTGTGTTTCCAAATGAGCAGCCCAAGAATCAAAAGAAGCAATTTATTCCAGATCAACTAAGCAACTGATTAAAATTTATTGGAGGTGAGCATGTTTTCTAACTCTTTTTTAACAAGTAACATGGAGCAAAAACATTCTCTCAGGCTTGCACAGAGCAAACTGATCAAACAATGGCTGTGACTCATCCACATGGCTGACACTGACAAAGGATCTACAAACTGCAGTTCAGGGTTTCAGGGTAAATCCTGAGGGGATTTTACTGGCCTTGTCAGATATAAAAGTTATATTTCTTATTATATAGTTCTTGTTTTATCTTGATCTTAACCATCCAGCAGAAAAGTATAAAAATGAGGTATAAAAAGTAAAGCCATATTAATATGCTGAGCTACAAAAGGCTCGAGTCAACAACTTCTGACATTGCCAGCCCTACGGATAACCCACTACCATTATGGACTGCTGGATTATATTGGATTATTTTGCTGAATTCATACACCTACAATATTTAAATGGCAATGGAATACCCATCTCTGACAAAACTAAACAAAAAGGAAGATACAAATAAAGGACCATTTTGTATCTGTATATACAAAATAGTTAGAATAAATATACAGCTACTTTCTCTTAATTCAATGAGAAGAAAGATTTGTACTAATAGTGTTTGGACAGGATATCATGTCTGCATCTTGTACTATGAATAACCACTAAGGAGGTTGGGGATTTGGCTCAGCGGTAGAATGCTTGCCTGGCAAGCTAGAAGCCCTGGGTTTGGTCCTCAGCACCAAAAACAAAAATTCAACCTCCACTAAAAAGCAGTTCAACCAAAAAATACAGTAAAATAAAAAAATAACCACTAAGAAGACAACAATATATAATGTATTTATTGAAACTGTCCTACTAATCAGTTTTGAAACTGTCTCATCGCAATTTGTTTCTCAATAAAATTAATAAAATTAAAATAAAATAATGGAACCGATGAAGAGCTGAACTAGTTACCTAGGTCTGGGAAGTCTGTACATGCCATGGACACTGGCTAATAAAGCCATCATCTATAAATTTTATTAGTAAGACTGCCATTGTAGATATTCTAAATCCTGGTATATTAGGTCAACTCCTGACAATCCAGACTGTGAGACAGTTCCGGTTCTGAGGAGACCTACAGTGCAGATTTTTGGCCCATGCTAATGGTGGAGGCTGGGAGCAAGTGCTCAAGAGACAAAGTGGCTCACCTCCTTCTCCAGCGGCCTCTCCTGCTAGCAGACCTACAGGGCATTAGGGTCCACTAAGGTCAAGGGAGTTGTCAGGGAGAAGGAGAAATGTGGCCAATAAAACATGAAAGAAAATTGTATGAATCAGTGGATAATTTAAGGAGGAGAACTTCATGAAGTAGAGGTTGAAGAGTCCTGGGAAAACTACCACAGGGAGAAGAGACATTTATGAGGAAGGCTAAAATAATAATAACTTAGAATAATATATAACAAAATTCCAAGCTTAACTCAAGCTCTCACTTGAGTCTTTTTGAGTGGTGAGAAAGGAGAAGGCAAAAAAGGCTGCTTCCCACATACATGGCCTGTTTATGGCCCCACCAAAGGATCCGTGTGTTAACACAAGATCTGAACTAAATGCCAATTGCTTATATGTCTGAATTTTCCCTGCCCTCCCTGCTCCCCTCTGAAAGATACAGAAATAATTTGACTACACCATTGCAGAGAGAGTAAATGTTCTTTATTAGGCAGAAGCCAGATGTTCAAGGAACTCCGTAATTTCTCCCGGATTCAGTAGCTGGTCTCAGGGGACGGAGAGACCTTTTGCACAAACTGGACAGTGCAGAAGGATGCTTAATGGTACTTGTGAGCTAGGGCATTAGCCACGCCAGCCACCACCTTCTGGAAGGCCGCCTGCACAGGAGGGGTGAATTCCGCACCGTGATGGTGGGCCAGAGCAATCACAATCATGTTGCCCAGGAGCTGTAGAGGAGAAACGAGAGGTGAGAACACACCTAGCAGAACCCAGAGTACCCCAAGCATGTCTCCACCTGTGACTCTGCCTGTAACCAAAACCTGGGAACAAAATGGCAGCTGGGGAGCTACTACCAGTGGTGAGACAGCCAGAATTAGTAGGCAGAAATATTTGTCCCTAATGCCCTAACCCACAAAATATATCATCACAGATATCATTCAAACCTGTGTGAAGAAACATGGTACATTTTAGCCTCTTGGTCTAGAGAAAAAGAGACCAGAGAAAGTATTTGAAAGATGAAAAATAAAAACAGAGGGCTAGAAGAAAAGAATTGTTTTGAAATAAAAATGTAACAGAAAAGATTTAGAAAAGAAAAGGGGGCAAACAAGAAGAAAAGGAGAGGGAAGGACAGTATTGGGCACAGAGTAAAGTGTACCAAATGCTCTGCAGGGGCCCAAGGGATACGAACACACACCTCATTCTCACTCTAAACCAGTTCCTAGTCCTAGTTCCCTTTGCTCATGGTGAGTACACTGCTGTGGAAAGAAAGAGGAAGGATGTTACTGAGGCCCATCCACACACTCACCCTGAAGTTCTCGGGGTCCACATGCAGTTTGTCGCAGTGCAGCTCACTCAGCTTGGCGAAGGTGCCCTTGAGGTTGTCCAGGTGATTCAGGCCTTCGCTGAAGGAGTGCAGCACCTTGGCACCATGAGCCTTCACCTTAGGGTTACCCATAATAGCAGAAGCAGAAGACAGGTCCCCAAAGCTGTCAAAGAACCTCTGGGTCCATGGGTAGACAACCAGCAGCCTGAATGAAAAGAGACCGAGTGACAGAGAACATCAGCGCCTGGAGAAAACCTCTCTTTCCAACCATTCAGCTTTCACTGCCCTCCCCCAGCATCTTATAACTTGATACCAACCTGCCCAGGGCCTCACCACCGATCTCCTCTACATTCACCTTCGCCCACAGGCCGGTGACGGCAGCCTTCTCCTCACCAGTCAGGTGCACCATTGTGTCTGTTTCTCGGTTGCTAGTGAACACAGCTGTGTCAGAAGCAAGTGTAGGAGCCAACTGCTCCCACTCTGCCTTTTATGCCCAGCCCTGGCTCCTGCCCTCCCTGGCCCTGGGAGCAGATTGGCTAAGGGCAGGGTGTGGCTCTGCAGGGTGAGGTCTGATAGATGACAGCTGTACCCATTCTTGGCAGTCCTGGCACCAGCCTGGGACTCTGACATCAGCTCCTCAGCCCGCCCTGTAGGTGTCACCAGGTCCCATCCCAGCAGTACCAATTGCCCCTTTCTGAAAACCTTACACATTTATTTGAATAACCATTTGGTAGGTAGATTAGATATTACTTCTTCAATTTTTATTATACAAATGAAAAACGGAGGCACAGAAGTTGAAAGGGATTTAACTCTAGTACTTCAGCATAAGAGAATATGGATGGATCCCCTCTGTCTCTAGAACATGTGAAATAATCAAAAGGACAAGTTGGAATAAGCCTCTCTCATGGTTCTAGCTATGCCTTCCTTCTCTCCATTTGGATTAAATCCTCCCGGTAAGAAAATAAATACTCATCCATTCATTTGTTAAAGGCTTTTGTGTGTTTGTTTATTTCTTCAGTTTGGTCAGCAAACCAAATAAATGATGTTTTTAAAATGGGATAAATCAGAATTGAGGCAAATTACACAAATATCTTCCCATCATAGTAACTTTCTTCCTTCTTTGTGTAAGTCCTTTCAACTACAAAAATCTCACTTTTTTATTTATTGTAATACTGTACTTGAAAAGAGTTCTGCAAATGCATAACATCTTTCTGCCAATTGCTGAACCAGGTTTTGAGAACATGGATTATAACAAGGGTATTTTAATGAGAGATACAGACAAATACCAGATAGTTGTAATCTCATTGTTTAAAATTATGTCATGGCTAAAAAAGGAACATGGAAGAAGGACAAAGCAGATGTGTTTTATTCAGCAAAGTTAATTTCATTTTCTGGAAAATCAAAATATAGAAATTTTCACAGTTGTATTCTCAAAGAAAAAGTGCAGTTAGATCATGGATAATTATTCAAGTAGCATTTTACTCATTTTTATTGTAAAATAATACTACAACATCAGTATTATTTCACTTATCTACATAGCAGAAAAAAAAACGGAAGGAAGGAAGGAAGGAAGGAAGGAAGGAAGGAAGGAGGAGGGAAGCATTAGAAGAAGAGGGAGGGATGGAGAGAAGAAAACAAAGGTGAAAAAGGAAGGAAGGGATGATGACTGGGATGAACTGGAAAAGGAAAAGGAAAAAATGGAATAACAGAAGATACAGGATACAACAATGCTGATGAATTTAGCAAACTATGATTAAAAATAACCAGTAATAAAAATGCAAACTATATTTTGATTTATATATTGAAAATGTGATAATGTGGCTGCCAATGGAAAATATTATGTGCTAGGGAGAGGAGCCACAAATGATTTTTAAGCTATGTTATAACATCAGATTATTTTTCTTATTATTTTTCTTTAACAAGTGAGCCAATACCAAAGATACTGAACACTTCAAGAAAGGAGGCAGAATGGTTTGATTTGTGCTTTAAAAAATTTCATTCACTGGCTGGGGAGATGACTCAGTGGAATAAGCACTTCCCTGGCAAGCACAAGGGCCTAAGTTCAATCCCTGGTTCTGAAAGAAAAAAAACTTTCATTCTCATTTCTGTGCTTAGGTGGATTTTAGAAGTAGAATAAGCAGAGTAAGCTTAGTCTTTGATAGTGGTAGAGTGACTGAAACAGAAAACACAAGATAAGGGCCAAGTTTACAAGAGGAATGTTAGAGCAGTAACAGAATTTTCACCTTAGACATAATGTATTTGACACACCCTTGATCAGTTCTAAAGGAAATATTTAGTTATATAATTTGAAGCCCCAAAAGAATACCTACATCCTGATGAAGAGCACAGAGTAAAACAAAGCATAAAGAAACATGCTACAGTTTGTTATACAAACACCTACTATTTGCTCAGAAATGACAGAAAATGCACTCTATCAACATCTCTTTTAAATCCCACAATTACATTTATGAGGTTGAATGAATCATTAGCCCATTTTATTAAAAAAAAAAGACATTAGCTATGAAAGAAGGCAGGCAAATTTTGAACTCTATAGAGATACTATTTGGTCTTTGTTAACTCTAAGGATTTTACCTTTAACTTGAATTCTCCTCTACCTTGTGTGATTTTACACAGTGAGGAAACACAGTCACATCCCTGTTCCACACAGGTTGCGTGGAGGGCACGGGCACAACGTGAAGACATCTACAAGAGGAAAGAAGAGCTTCTACTTGAGTCCAGAGGACAAGGAGGACCTGACTCTTGCCAATAATAACAGTAACAAGAAGACAGGGGAAGATTTGAGCACTTGATTCTTGATTATTGGCAAGGAAATAGAATAAGCCAAGAAGATTTAAAATTTCTAGCACAGGCGGAAGGGCAAGATGGTATACATGTGGCTAAAATGGAAAGTACAGGAAGAAAATTTTTCTATTCCAGCAAAAATTAAATTAAATTAAATTGAAATACCCTTGCTGAGCCTGGGGGCCTGAAAGGCACCTATATAAAACAGCTCAGTACACACTTTTACGTGTGAATTTGGCTCTAAGAAGTCAGAGCCAGAGATCAAATTTAGGAATTTCAATATTCAAAAGTTACATTTAAGATTTTAGGTATGACTGACATCCCAGGAAACACTGTGACAAACACAAAGTGATACGGATCAAGGCAGGAAAGTTGCTGAACACCAGCACTGGGTGGGACGTCACAGGCCACCAAGACAAACACAGTACACAAGCACCAAGCTGGCAGAGAGCTCAGGGTTGACTGTAATTTGCTCATTGCCAGGTTTGGTAGGCATGAATTTCAACACACTGTTGATTTCAGCGTAGTTAGAGATAAGATTCTGAATTTTAACAATGAAAAGTTTTAACACATTGTACTGTTAATATAGTATTAATTAATTAGCAAAAATAGAAAAAAAGAAAAAGACAGGTTGGAAAAGGGAAGTACATGTAAGAAAGATGGCCATATGTTAAAAAATAAACAATAAGGATTTTTAGGTCATCCAACCTTGGATTTAAGTCCTACTAGTGAATGACCAGCTGCCTTTCCTGGACACATTATTGAAATATTTGAACTTTAATAAAAATACAATAAGCTCAATTGCTAACTCAGTTCATCTATTCCTAACTTGTTCTATGACTGGATGAACTGATTAAACTAGATTTAATTCAGACTAGTCAGATATTGACTACTGAAGTAATATATTCATTTAAATAGCCCAAGATGTGGGAAGCCCATTAAGTACTAGTAGATGGTATTATTTTCATATGTGATTTTGAGATGCCACTCCTCTCCAGGGCTCTAACCCAAGTCCACTCCTGAAGTAATTAAGGTATTAATCATTTAAACTATCATTCCAAATTATATTTATTTATTTACTATAAACATATCAGCTCCCTTTTTCCTATCATTTGCCTTTCTGCTCTTTAACTTATTTTTCGTCCATCATCTGACTTTCTTTGTATTTAAGGAATTTTCATTTCTTAGGCTCTCTCTCCATTTGGACTCCATATCAGTGTTCTCTAACAGTGAACAAGGACAAAGGGACAACATGAGAACAGTTAGGTTGCTCTCCCTCTCGCTCTCCCTCTCCCTCTCCTTCTCCCTCTCCCTCTCCCTCCACCTCTCACTCTCCCTCTCCCTCTCACTGTCCCTCCACTTCTCACTCTCCCTCTCCTTCTCTGGCTTCTTCAGTAGAAGTTTCTTTCATGACTGACACCATGATGCCTTCCTCAGACAATTCTACTGTCATCAGGGAGTCTCCACCCTCTTGTCCACTCAGTAGACCTGTGGTCTGTATTTTAACACATGCCTTTTCTCCCTCTATCCTTCTAGACCTATATGTGAAAGAAAATTTTTACTCAGCTCTAGGTCAATATACTATCTCCTGTTTAATCTCATGGATGTTCCAGAGCATGCATAACTAGCTAGTTGCATTTAATTAACTGACAATAAATGTAACTGATAAATCTATTGAGCTGATTGCCGGTGCAGTACCTTACTAGTGTTTGAATTTCTGATATACAAGTGCTAGTACATATTATCAGTCCAACATACTTGCTTAATGAAAAGTGTAGGAAAGCAGATTGAGGGGAAAAGTTAACAACTGTGTAGGAACACAGGAAGAAACCACATGACAACATCACCTATAAATATTGACATATTTCATAGCCTTTTTTGGTTTTTTTTGTTGTTGTTGCTGTTGTTGTTTTGTATTTCACTTTGGTATTTTCCATGTTCATGGGCTTATATTTTAAACAGTATTGAGACTTGTGGAACCTTAGGTACACTTTGTGTTTCTCCATGATTTACTATTATACACCCCAGTCCAAACAATGAGAGAGTCTATTGCAGCGAATAACAGAAGTAATAGAAGAAATGTCAGGAATATTTTCTGGCTATGGAAATTCAGGTGAGATTAGTGAACACATCACATGAGTAAAGTTGTGCTGTGAGCCTCCCACAGAGCATCACAAACTTGGCTTCAAGGAGTAGTACCATAAAGCCAGTACCTGAAACATCAGAGGGGTGTTTGCAGAAGAGAAGTTCCGACTTTTGATCATGTGACTTTCAGGATCGTATTTTGACATGAATTCTTTGATTCTGACTGTTTTGGCTGTTCTTGTTCAACTATTCACAGCACAGCCTTGCCTTGCTTAGCAATGGTTTTCATTAGAAAGGTAGTCCTCACGTTGTCCACATTTGACACCAGAATGGAGCCCGACTCGGGAGTGGTATCAGATGGATGCAAGTACTCCAGGGGACACGTGCTCCAGCGCACCCAGGTCCCTGGCAATCCTGGTTCTCAAGTCATCAGAAGAGGACTGAAGATTATGTGCGGCAACCTTGGAACCTGGGTATTCAAGGTTCTTCCAGAAACATTAACATCAAAAGACAATTATAACATCAGCTGCAGAAAGGATCGAATTTCATTTTTCGTTCTCTTCCTTCGGAGCCGCTGCCGCT